TTGTTTAACAGTTTTCATTGTGTTTCCTTGTGTCTTGTTCCTATATGAATGTAATGTACTTCATTATTATTTGATATCTTTCTTCCCTTAAGAGACAATTTCTGAGATGTAGCTAATGCCCTCCTTTGAGGGAAGTTATTATCTTTAATAGCTTTGTTAGAGAGGGTGGAAGATATTATGCCAAAGACATGACTTCCACCTAAACAAGACAGAAAAAGAATAGCAAATTAATGCCAAAACAAAGAGAAGGAATCAAAAACAACATAATTTTATGAAAGAAAATACAGAAATAATAGAATGATGATTCCAAATCCTTATAAAATCAGTGAGATGGACAAAATATTTGAATAGGTATTACATAAAACAATGACAAAGAACCACATTAAAGGATGCTGGATACCAGCAGTCATCCTCAGTGGGATACCTCAATGAGCTAGCACCACGTGCTCCTAAACTGAGCATCCCACCTGAACAGAGAGAGGGACGAGCATGCAGCTATCACACAGCCACTGGGGGGAAGGCAAAATCATACAGCCACTTAGGAAAAGCTGTGATGGTCTCTAGGATGCTGAATACAAACACAGCAGTTCAAGCTTTGTTATTTACTCAAGAGATTTGAAAAATACATGTCTACACAAAGACTTGAGCGTGCATACTCACAGCATCACTACTCATTGTAACTAAAACCTGGCAACAGTCCAAATAGACATCACTGCATGGATTTGAATGCATAAACAGTTGGGCACAGGCCAGGCATGGTGGCTCAACCCTGCAATCCTAGCTACTTGGGAGGTGGAGATTGAGAAGAATATGGTTTAAGGCCAGCTCAGGTGAAAAAAAAATGCATGAAACTATTCCAACCAATAAAAGCTGGGCACAGAGGGCCACACCTGTGCTTCCAGCTACTCAGAAGCATAAGCAGGAGGATCGTGGTCCAGGAATAAAGTGAAACTCAATCTGAAAAATAACCAGAGCTAAAAGGGCTGCTGGTGTGGTGCAGGTGGTAGAGAGCCTGCCTAGAATGTGTGAGGCCCTGAGTTCAAACCCCAGTACTGCCAAAAAAAAGTTGAAGTTCATTCATATTGTAGACTGCTACTCTGTAAAATAAAGGGGAACATCAGCATGGAGCAGCCTGAATAAATCTCAAAAACACTCTACAAAGTGCAAGGAGACAAACACAAGACACTGTGAGTATGGTTCTATTTTTAAGAAATTATAGGAAAGAAAAACCTACAGACCAACAGAAAGCTAATCAGTCATTGCCTGGGGCCATTGGTGGAGTGGACGATCCCCAGCAAAGATGTGGAAGACAGGCCTTCCACATCTCTGTGAGGTCAATTCCTAGATAGCTTATGTTTGTGTAATGTTTGTTAACGTAAAAATACGAAAATGTATTAAAAGATGTTAAAATGCTTAAATCAATAGAAATGTGACCAAGTCCACAAAAGGAGCACTAATGTAAAAGTGTCAAATTTCCTCCAAATTGACCTTTTCCTTTTATGTGGTTTCAATGTTTCCCAGAATTCTTTTGAGCCTAGGCTGAATCCAGCATGTATAAGGAACAGCAAAATCCCAAAGAATGCCAAGCCTTTCCCAAGGTAAAGTAAGACAGATAAATATCCCAGGCAGCAAAATTCATGAAGCAGAATGAGCCAATTCATCAGTTCTCACATAAAAAACATCCCATGAGACCCTACGAGGGGCTGGAGGAGTGGCTCAAGGGTTAGAGCACTTGCTGGGGAAGCATGGAACTCTGACTTCAAACCCCAGTATGATCTAAATAAATAAGTAAGTAGATGTATAAATAAATAAAACACCCTATGAATGCAAATGTTATTGATGAAATGTTTTGTTCACAGCGCTTTTTGCTGAGAAAATACTGACCTCAATTTGATGAAATCAGATCCCAGTCTCACACTGTATGTATACACAAGTCATTTCCAGGTGAACTAAAACCCCAGTTTTGAAAGGAAAGACCAAAAATGTTTCAAAAAATACAAGAGAATACCTTTATGTTCCTGTAAAAGAAAAGAATTTCTTAAATGACACACATCAAATACCAAAAATAAAAAATTTAAAAATATTTTGGACTGAATTAAAATTTTCTTCTTATCAAAACATTCTCTAAAGACAATGAAAAGTAAACCTCAAGTAAGAAATGGCATTTCAACACATAGATAGATGCAACAAAAAATTCATTTAGGATGTAAAACCCAAAATCTTTCTAAAATCAGTAAAATAAAAGCAATCCAACAGAAAATAAATAAGCCAGCGATTTCACAAAAGGAATAGAAACAGCAAATAAGCAAATGAAATAACTCAAATTACTAATAATAAGATGATACAAATTTAAATCAGAAAGATACCATTTTACACCTACTACATTGAACAAATTAAGAAATTGCAGTGTGGCTGCTTTGGAGAGTGGCATGTGAATCGTGACAACTCTTGCACACTTTGACGCCAGTTACGCTTCCTTCTGCCTTGGATAATAGCTTGCAAGATTAAGCAGTCACATGCCTTAGGACCAGGTACCTCCACTCCTAGACACACACGCAAAAAAAAAAGATGTATGCATTTGTGCTAAAAAAAAATGCAAAGAAGAATGTCCTTGGTAGAAGTGTTACAGTGATTACACTACGGATGACTGATACTCATTATGGTCTATGTGTTCTTGAAGAGTATACATTAATGAAAATGAAGAGCTCAGAATGATAGTGAATAATCTTCCAAATATGGTAGAAATTAATGAGGACCACTTATGGCAGTCACATGAAGCTCAAATGCAAGCGAGGCTAGGACTGGGGTTGCAACTCTTGACCAGCATGTGTGAGGCCCTGTGTTCCATCCCCAGCACTAGAAAAAAATCAAGTAAAACTAAACATGTTATTGAGGAGGATGTAAATGTATGTATGTATGTATGTATGTATGTGTATGTGTGTGTGTGATAAAACTTAAAAGTCGAGGGGGTGATATGACTCAGGAGGGGGAGGCCAGAGGATGGAATAGAAAAAGTGTATGAAACGATGAAACAGAAATCCTGTGTGTGGCAACTGATGAATGGACTAAGAGAATGTGGTATTTATACACAATGGAATGTTATTCAGCCATAAAGAAGAATGAAATTTTGTTGTTGGCAGGTAGATGGGCAGAACATCATGTTAAATGAAGTAAACCAGGCTCAGAAAGCCAAAGGCTGCACGTTTTCCCTCATATGTGGCATTTAGACCCATATAATGACAAGCAATGTTATAAAAAACAGGTCACGCTGAGGGGAGGGCACTAACGGGAGAGGGAGGATGAAGGAAGGAAGTTAAGAAGGTGAATAAGGTTGATGTACTTCCTATACAAGAATGAATATAGAATTTTTAAACCTGTTGAAATCACCATAAGAAGGGGACTAAGGCAGAAAGGTAGAAAATAGAGGGTATGAACTAATTTGGGTTACAATACATGTATACATGGAAATGTCACAAGGAAACGCTCTATAGCTATCTTTAACAAAATTGTCTTTTTTCAAAAACAGAGAACAGGAAAGTAAAACAGGTCCTGTCTGGGGGTTGGCACCAGTGGGAGAGGGGAGGATATAAGGAAAGGGTGTAGGAGGATAAATATGGTGGAATATCATGTACTCATGTATGAAAATGGGAAAATGAGACCTGTTGAAACTATTCCAGGAATGGGGGAGGGCAGGGGATAAAGGAGAGTGATGGAGGAGGTGAGTTTAAGCTATATCGTAAGCACTTTTGTAAATATCACAATGTACCCCCAGTACAAAAATAATATAATACTTCAAGATTTCACTTTTAAAAATCCTGTGTGTATTCTACTTCATAGGCTTCATTGGTTCCACTTTATAACATACACAGATATTCTGTCTGCACCAAATATTACGTAATCTGAAAAACCAATGCATTCTGTGCGATTCGTTCCGGGAGGCTGGAGTAAAAGCAGGGCGCTGGTGCTTCGGAGGAGAGTCAGTGAGGACGGGAGTGACTTAGAAATTCAGTCAGTGCGAACACCAGCGAGTAAACAGAGACAAGGTGGTGACCAAATTAAGTGCTCGCCTTTTTGTGCAACTTTCTTATGGAACTGATAAAGTGACTTTTAGTCACTTTCCAAAGCAGAAATTTAACCATTTGTTTGTAAGGCGATCTTCACTGGAATGATTGATAGGCCTCAAAGTATCTTGATGGGTTTACTCAAAAACAGAAAAGCATGACTTGTTTGATTTGTACATGAAAAAAATACCAGGAAATTAAGGGCAAACGATTTCACCTGGGTATCTGACTAGTACCTTGACCACTAACTCTTGAATGTGACTCACATATTACACAAAATGGAACAGTCTATAAAATTTTACCACATGAATAAGGTTTACTTTTCCGCATCAAATCTAGACATACTTGAATTAAAACTTTGCTTTGGAACTAAGTGCATACTAGTTAGTATGCGCTTTATTAATTTTCTAAGGGGAGCATTGATTGACTAAATAAAAAAAGACCAGAGTCACTGAGAGTATTGTGTCTGCATTCAACAGACGTTCATTGCAGTAACATATCCCCTTAAGAGTGGCAAGAGTTGGAGCTAGTTTTGCAGCATGTGGGTGCAGGCCCCATGGATGGGTGCATCTACAGATGTATCCCAAAGTGCCAGGTACTGTCATAACCGACTGTCTCAGCTCTGTGGTGACTGATTGCTTCATCTGTTCTGCACGTTCACTGCATGTGTGCGGCCCAAGAAAGTTCTAGCACAGCCCAAGGATTCTGTGCCTGGACACACTGTGCTTCCTGCCTGTGTGTGGAGCAAAAAGGCTCAGACAGACCATTAGGAGCGCAGGTTACACAGAGCCCAGTGTTCTCCCTGCATTGAAAGGGCCTTCGATGAAAAGTACAGAGGTTTTTTTCAGAACTAGACAATTCACTGCACACAAGTTCCATCAAAGTCCCAGGCCACTTTCGTGATGGTTCATGTTTCTTTTTTCTTTCCCCTTTTTGTAGATAAAGAATTCATCTTCAGAGAACGGACGGGAACTGTAATACTGAGGAATGTTGAAACCAATATTTCTACAGTGCTAATAGAAGGCAAAAAAATTGTAAGTACTCCATCCTAATGACCAGGATAACTTCAGCTTTTTTCTCCTGCAAGTCAATAAAGCAGAAAATGACTTTAGGACTCCACTTTTAGTATAGCCAAGGAGAAGCAATAAACTTGTAATACTACAGGCTGGGTAACTAAAGATAATGTGAATTTGAAACCACGTAATTTAATAAGATGAAAGCACACTTTATTCAGCATCTGGGAAGTTTCTCTGCAGTTGTTGGCAACAAGTGTGGCATATCCTGTATAATTGAAAGACAGAGTCCTAAGGCTTTTACACATTTATAGAACAATTGCAGTAATGCCTGCTGCATCCTCCACAAGAACTTGCTCAATCTCTTCTGAAAAAAGCTATCTGTCACACACAGGGACAATTAGCTTAGGCACTGGCCCTCTACCTAACGATATCAAATGATGTTTGTTTTCAAATAAGTAGAGTCCATCTGAATGACCCTGGGAAGATCATTCTCCCTTAGACTTAAGTGACGTTAAGATTTGGGGCTGTTAAAAAACTAGATAGCATTTATTGCCCTCAACGCAGAGAAACTAAAGCAGATACTTTAAAGCAACTGAGGCCAATAGGAGAAGGGGACCAGGAACTAGAGAAAAGGTTAGATCAAGAAGAATTAACCTAGAAGGTAACACACACGCACAGAAAATAATGTGAGTCAACTCCCTATATAGCTATCCTTATCTCAACCAGCAAAAACCCTTGTTCCTTCCTATTATGGCTTATACTCTCTCTACAACAAAGTTAGAAATAAGGGCAAAATAGTTTCTGCTGGGTAGCGAGGGGATGGGGGGAGATGGACAGGGAAGGGGGTTAGGAAGGGGGAGAAATAACCCAAGCCTTGTATGCACATATGAATAAAAAATAAATAAATAAAAAGATTTGGGGCTGTGTGTAAAGATGTTATAAACATCTGAGACTGAAGTCATATGCCAAAAACCATTGAAAGAAAATTGACTTTTTCCTCTGTTTACTGTATGTTCACGCTCAGTCTTAACAGAAATAAATTCCCAACTCTAAGAAGCTGACCATTTTCTTGTTTGATACACTGGAAATTCAAAGGAGGAAACCAAAACTAAATCTATGTAAAAAGCAAGAATTGAAATAGGTCAGGAATTTTGAGTCAGAAAGATCATAAAAAGAATTCTTGTATGAATCAGACACGTAGAGGTCTTAGACTCTATAATCCAGGATTAGTAGGGACTGGAAAGAATTAGTCATCTCTGGGTGTTGCAGATAAGGGTTGGCAAATGAGCTTCTCAGCACCCCTCCTGTCACTCAGGCCCATGACCAGGACCTCTGTCCAGGGAGAGTGAGGGTGGCTTCATCTTTGGGCCACTCTGTGCCTGGACTCATTGATAGGCTGTTTCATCTTCTTTTCCCTCTGAAAGGACACTCAACTGGCTATTTGCATACTTTTATTTCATTCACTTTCTTTTGCTATAAAGAAACATTTTTCTTCAAAAAGAGAGTTTACTGAGATTTATTATTAAATGGGTCTTGCCCTGTAAGTAGACTTCTAGTATGAGGGAGGCCTTGCACCATTGGGACAATGGTGTCATTCCTAAAATGATTGTGTTACTGAATTAAATTGTATTCTGCAAAGGAAGGCCCAGAGAGATGAATGAACCTGCGTTCTTGCACTAAAAAACCAATTTCCCTTAAGAAAATCTGACTCAACGCACCTAACGATGCTAAAATGGCAGAAATGGCTTCCTATCTTAATGGGAAATGCTCTGCCTGACGCCGAGGACACACACATTGTAATGTCAGGACATGGTGGTGTTTCTGGGAGGACAGTGTTCAGACAAAGCAGGATGCAGGGACAGCTGCCCTCTCTGGTGAGACACAAGAAGATGGACGTCCTTCTCTTTCCAAAATCAAATAGCTTGTGGCACATCAAATATTTTCACAGAAATTGTTTCAGCCAAATAATAAAGCAACTTCAGAACTCACCACAGGTAGCAAAAAGTCATCATGTCACAAATTATCTGGCTTATTCTATGCACTGCAATCTTTCCCACCTTACAATGTCATTTGTGTACTTAGTAACATTTACTAGGCACCCAATGTGTACAGCCTGCTCAATTCATAATTCTCCCAAAGCTACATTTAAATGCTCCTAGAAACAGACTTCAAAAAAAGGAAATCCAAATAAATGTCACTTAGGAGGCTGCCACTATAACTTAGATGGCAGAAGCTCCGGTTTAACTTCCACTGAGCTGGGTAGCCATTTCAGTTTCTTCTTCAGTTGCTCCATCTATGAGTTAATTCCCCCTGCCAGCCTAGAACCCAGGTCTTCTGTGAGGGCAGCAGTAGGGTTCTGCACACCTGTGTTTCCCTGAGCAGGTTCAAGAAAGTGAAGCAGGCATGTCAGAGGGTCCAGAGTCTGTAGGATCACCTGCAGGCTGCAGGGGCCAGTGGACTCGAGGGAACGGGGAGCACAAAACAGTCACTTCCACACTCTGTTCTCTTGCTTTTTGATGACCAAGGAGGAGGGATCTTCCCAAAGGAATTGCAGAAACTCTGAGCTCTTGAAAGGCAGCAGTGGCCTTGGCCCCCAGGAGGTAGGTTTTGCCAGCACAACCTGAAGCCAACAGAGAAGGAGAAAGGAAACTGGAAGTTCTGTGGCCAGCAGGATTTTAACCCTGAATGTCTTTGAACAGAGGGTTTTAACTTAGCCATCCTTTTTCACGCCCCCAAATGACAGAAACCACGAACTGTTTAAACTAATTGGCGGCTTGTCGCTGTGTACACTTAGCATTCCACAATGACTGCATCATGGTTGGTACTTTGCAGACTTCTTTTCTTTGTTGATGCTTTTGGCATTCCTATTTTTTGAAAGCAAGATATTTTCAGATACTATACTTTCCCTCTCAAGGCTCAATATTTGAGTCTGCTAAAATATGAGGTGACAATAGACACGACCACGAGGAAATGGGTACACACTTGTGTGACATGCAGCATGCACAGGATCTACACAAAACAGGAAATTCTAGGCTTACACCTCTTCCTAGGGTGAAGTGGGGAGTGAAGTTCATGGGCCCTGGTAGAGGGACAGGCTGTGATGCATGGGTGACATGAATGAGGCCAAGAGAAGGCAAGGCCCTGGGCTATTCCTCGGTCCCTGGGTGTAGGGTTTGATTCCGTCCGCTTCCCTGTGGTGTGAGTCTAATCTACTTGGATTTGAAGGCAGTTGTATTTCTTTTTGGCAGATCTCATTTTCAGGTAGTTAGGAGATTTCAAAGAAAACCCTCCCTGTGTTTGCTGCTCCCAGGGCTCTCAGTCTGAAGGCCAACATGGCATATTTGGGGCCAACATGGCATATTTGGGGCATCAATTTCTAACCCCCAACAATAATATATTTGAGGGTCTATAATAATTAATTTTTAAGAAACAGTCAAATGTCTTGGTCCATTTCTTGTTCTTGAAATTTTGAAGTGCTCATTTGCACAAAGAAAAAACTAAATAAAGTGTGGTGGCCCCAGTCACATACTTCCCTGGAAGAGTGCTCCTCATACCAGGTTTGTAGCCTGGGCTCTGCCTTTGACTTTGTCTCCCACGTGGTAGGTCCTCCACATGTATGTCACGAATCAATGTTACAGGATGACAGAGCAATAGCAGTGAGCACTTTTCTAGGAGGGGCCTCAGTGCACCAGGGTTATGACCTCGAATTTCAGATCTGCCTTCTGCTGGAACTACACTCTGTTCACTAGCCACAGGACCTCAGACCAGTTGTATAAGCTCTGTCCATCCCAGTCCCCTCTCTCAGGAGGTAAAGGTAAATGAGTGGTTGTGTGCAGCCTTCTGGAAAGCAAGTGTAAGTCACGTGTGGAACCCAGGTGTTAGGATGTGCTGGGGGGCGGCCAGGACTCAGAGAGCAGGTGGAATGAGTGGATGGTTCTGAGCAGGAACCTGGTAACAGTGCTGCCTGGAGGGAGAAGCCCGGGCATCCAGGTGGCAGTGGCAGAAGTGGACTCTCTCTCCTGTACAGCCTGGATCATAACTGTTTTCCATCCTGAGCCATGGTCATCAGAAGCTAGCTAGTAAAGCAAGAGACACTGTCAGATTTCTAAAATCAAATAAAAATTAAGTCTACAACTAACTTTCACTTGAAATACATGTTGGATGCTCAGGAATCCTGTGACATTGTATTTTACTCTTATTTATAACAATAACTTAAATGTCAAACTTAGTGTTATCTTGTCACCATGTTCCTAATAAGACCCTTTGTTCAACAGGTTAACAAACTATAAGAAGGACTTTGTTACAGCACACAACTCTTTTCCCTGAAAAATGAGTCACTGTAAATTATCTTGTGGCCCTAACTGGGTCTTTAGACATTTGGCCAGTGGTTGCCTGGTTCTGAAAAATCTCGTGTTTTCTCTGCTGAGTAGCAGACTGACTTTTCCCCTCCCGCCTCCCCTTCTTTTCCTCCCTCTTCCCCTCTTTCCTTCTTCCCTTCCTTTCCAGTAGTACACTTAAAAGGGGCTTAATACATTTGCTGAACTTAATTAAATAGATTTCACAGGCATTATAGACACATAATGCCATCCCTCTAATTCTTCTAAAATATAAAAGAACAGAAATTCAGATGTTTAAAGCTGAAATAGGCTTTGGAGAGTATTGTCAATATTCAGACCCTTCTTGGATGAGGAAACCAAGAATGCTTACAGAGTTCTGGCTTGACCTTCACTATTGATCCAACAGGGCAAGTTCAGAATAAATCACGGTATTGACCTGTGAAGTTCATACTTCGTGTGCCCTTTCTAGTGATGACCACCAGTGGTGACAAGAAGAGGAAAGGCTGATACACTCCCTCAGTGCATCACTTAAATTGTGTAAGTGTTTAGGGAGCAACTTGGCCATACATTTCAAGAGCAATAAAAATACCTATGTATCTTGAGTGACTCCAGGGAAATTTTCACAAGTAAAAAATCTAAAAAGTACAATGTTAGCATTGTTTATGACAGTGAAAATAGTAA